TTCGTATTTTTAAATGGAACACCCTGCACAGTTTTTTTAATAGATAGAGAATTAAAAAATGAACATTTTTTATATTTAGAGTATTTCATAATTTTTAACGGTTTCGCAGATACCCGGGATATTAGTTCATATGATTATTTTAACGGTAAAATACGAGAGAGAAATCATTGGATTGCTTTGATAAAAATTTACTGTGGAAAATGCCATATGAAATATTAAACGGCGAATATCTGAGAAACCGATAAAAATTTTGAAAAACCTTAAAGACAAAAAATGCTCATTTTTTTAATTTTCCATCTATTAAAAGAATAATATACAGGGTGTTCCATTAAAAAAAGAAAATTGATTTTATATTTAAACCATTAAAAGTAAATACCTAGTCCTTGTATTTTTAATAATTTTTTTAAGGAAGGCTGAAAAATATATATTTTTTATCTATTTATTAATATCTCTGAAACTATCAAAATATATTTACTCATATCTGAAAGGAAGCCAAAAATGCAATAATATACAGTTGTTCTATCTAAAAAAGTCATCCCGATCTACTCACACTTTTCTGAGCCACCCTGTTGAAGTTAAAATATTTTCCTGGAATACATCCTAGTACATACTTTGATTTGCACTTAAACAAAGGTCCCAAGTTTTTTATTCTAAGAGCTATAGATATCTAACACAGTATGAATATGGAACCTGTATTTTAAGGGGTAGTATATTTCGATCCCAGAAATACGTCTAAGAGGTTTATCCCTCGTAAAAAATATACAGGGTGTGTCTTAAATAATTGCAAATTTAGGGTGGTAGGTTTCATCCCCACGAACTAATGAACTAAACCTATGAGGTTTTTTTCGCAAAAAATATGTTGAAAATTGTTCACAGGTCCAAGTTGGTAAAAACAGAACTCACTTTTCTGAAAGCCTCGATGCTTATTTTTACTTATGTTTTAAAGAATATTGTTTGTATATTGTATTTTATGTATTTTTGCTAATGATATTAATTATAATGCTGTAAAAATCTTGATAAAATTAATTAATAAATTTAATTAAGAAATTTAAGAACATTGTTTTCTTAGTGTATAAAGTTATATAGGTTTCTCTTTGTTTTGGTTGTTTTACTTCATTATTTTAAAAGGCTGATTAATAAAGAAATTAACTTATTAAACTTTGTTTTGCGGTTGACGTTAAAATTGATACTGAAAAATTAAGTACCTTGAAAAGTTTTCGTTTTCCTCAAGCATCCACACACTTTTGTTACATTTACCAACGACTTTAGATTGTTAAGGAACTTCGTATTAAATTTCACTTTGCAAACTTTCCGTTTTATCGAGACTCAAAATGTCAAAGGGTTAAACAAAAATGTTATGGATAAAGACTTTATTTAAAAGAGTAGTCGATTTACAATGGGGTCCTTGCACGTGTCGGGTAAAATTCAAATATTTATGATTTTTAATACATTTTTACATAAAACATCTACTTAAATATAAAATCAGTTTGTACAAGTTTCATCTGGAAAGTACTTAAATTAATTATTGAAATTCGCTTGGCGCGAAAACGAGGTCTGACGTCATAAGTGTAAAAATTTTCGGCCGGCAGCAAACGCATTTCATTTAAATAAGGTGTTCCTCAATGACATCTAACATCTAAATAAATTAATTTTCTAATTTATTTTTTAAGATTTTTTTTATTTAGATGCCATTAGGTGTTTCAGTTTTTTGAATTATAACAGAACCCGATTATAATAAAGCCCAGCCAGACAATCTACGGAAAGTAGATTTGACGATGGTCGCTCATTATTTTTCGCCAGAATTTTGTTTACTTCTGCCGAAAGGAACAAACAAGCAAAATAAGTTCATGGAAAAATTCTTTTGAACTTTAACAGATTATTACGTTACTTATACATATTATAACTAAATAATTTTGTATGAAATTGGCAATTCAAAAAGTCTTACATAAACACCCTTTTTATTTTATATTAAACTAGCGTGTACCAGCGACTTCGTTCGCGTCGAATTAATCATTTGTAATGCTGATGATAAAGCAAAGCAAGAATTTCCAATAACATACAAACTGGATAAAATTTTCTCACATTTATGTCAGCATGAAAAAAAACAATATGGCGATATTATTATATAACTTGGTAATATTTGAGGGGTAGTTTCATCTCGTTGGAATTTGACTTTCGAAAAATCCGTTTGCCAAAAATAAGCTTTTTACGTCAAGCAGTTTAAGCAGAATCGTGGTTAAGAAATTACCCAACTTTTTGGAACACCCTGTATGATTTTTTTAAAAATTTCAAAATATGTAAAAAAACCAAATAAATTACGCTTGTCCAAGCGTTTTCCCGAAAGACTAACCCTTTTTTAAATAACAAATATTGTAATATTTGAGGGGCGTTTTCACCCTCTTGGAATTTGCGATTCGAGAAACCCATCCTTATCGAAACTCTACACTCCACAGTTAATCCGTTAGCCAAAAATCAGCTTTAAACGTCAAGCAGTTTAAGCAGAATCGTGATTACTCAATGGTCATATTTTATGAAACACCCTCTATAAATTTATAAAAAATCTTAAATATATGTAAAACAACAAAATAAAATATACGTGTTTAAGGGCCACCGGTTTTTAAATAAAAAATGTTTTAATATTTGAGGGATAGTTTCACCCCCTTAGAATTCGAGTTTAGAAAAATCCCTTCTTATCGAACCTCTATACCCTAAAGTCAATCTGTTTTCCAAAAATCAGCTTTTTACGTCAAGCGCTTTAAGCAGGATCGTGATTAATCAATGACCAGATTTTTCGAAACACCCTGTATACATTTTTAAAAAATCTTAAAATATGTAAAAAATAAAAATAAAATATACGTGTTTACGCGTTTTTTCGGAAACTTGACCGTTTTTTAAATAAAAAATATTGTAATATTTGAGGGGTAGTTTCACCCTCTTGGAACTGGAATTTCGAAAAATCCCTTCTTATCGAATCTCTACACCCTAGAATCAACCTGTATGCCAAAATTGAGCTTCTTACGTTGAGTGGTTTGAGCAGGATCGTGATTAATCAGTATGTCAGTCACTTAAGGATTTTATATATTAGTATAGATAATATAATAATAATAGCTCCCGTATATAGCGTTTAACGCCTTGGGAGTAGCAAGGTACAGCTTGCCATACTAGAGCCGTTCGGTATACAAGGAAGGTATGTGGCTAGCACTACGCTTCAACCGCCTATTATTACCTCAGGATTGTGAATCCCAAGTACTCATTTAAGGCTGAGTCGACCTAGGTATCCAAACTATTTTTATTTTAATAAAAATAGTCGGCTGATGAAATGCCGGGTGTGGGAATCGAACCCACACCTTGAGATTGGTAGACGAGAGGCTGTACCTCTACGCCACCGAGCACCTTTTAGTATAGATAATAATTTTCTGAATGTTTTGCAATTATTGGTCATTTACGCCATAAATATTTTTATCGAAAACAGTAAGTATATGTATATTGTAGTCTCATAGTGTATTTCGTCTTTTTATGAAGATCCTAGGTCACTTCATGAAGCGTCGCGGTCGGTTAGGTTAGGAGTTTAGTTAGGTTATTAGGTCAGTTATTTCATGAAGTGACTAGGATCTTCATGAAAAGACGTAATCACTATGAGACTACGACATGTATATATTTAAAGAAAACCATGTTTTGAGTAAACAAATATCATTTAATTATCTCAATTTATACCTTTAAATACAATACTTGATAATACTTTATCTAGAAATTTCATATTCGCTATTCTATCATACGTCTTTGTCTTCCATAACATTGTAATAAAATTCCATTAATATCATATTAATCGTTAAAACTTTTTTACCTATTTTTCTGTTATTTGCCTTCTTTATGAATTATTTCTATCCGATTTCATCCATTAATTTTATTTAGAACTCCAAGATTTAATTAATGAGATTGACGTTTGTTTGACACATCGCACGAGTATGTCACATAGAGAAGAGCAGCGTTGCCAGAAACTTTCGAGCGAATTTCTTCAACGAAACCTTAAAAATCCTTCATATTCCTTCAACTTCAACAAAAAATTCCAGATCTTGTGAAAAATCACCAAATTTTATTATTTTATAATCAGGAGAAAATTTTTAATAACTTATTTCTGGTAATTTTTGTACACCGATGTATTTAAATATTTTTTTATTAAAAAATGACAGGATCAAAAATGCTATGGTAGATACTCGATAACAGTATTATAAAGTATGTTTCAAATAATTCATTGCTTACAATGACTGCTTGAATCAAACATAATTAATCGTGCAAGACGCCATGATCAGCTGACATACCTATTAGAAATGTTTTTTATTTACTTATTTATTTCTTTTCAACATCAAGAACTTTGGTTTAATTAGGGTATGCGATAATAAGACGTGTTGAAAGATAAAAACGTGTCTATTAATTTTTTGTTAAATGTTAAAATCTTTCGAATTGCGAACTTTTTCAATTGCTTTAAACTGAAGCATCCTTAACTAAACATCGTTAAAGTGAAAAATAGATGTAGGAAAAACCATAAATACTCCTACTACATATTTTATCAATTTTTATTGTCTAAAACTGCCAGAAATCTTCATATTGTCTTCTTTTTAGATAAAACATATCAAACCACATTTGACTGTAAAATCCTTCATATTGAAGGAAATCTTTAATTCTGGCAACACTGGTTCTGTCGTAATTCGAAGAAACTGAAACACCTTATTTAAATGAAATGCTTTCGCTGCTGGCCAAAAATTTTAACACTTATGACGTCAGACCTCGTTTTCGCGTCAAGCGAATTTCAATAATTAATTTAAGTATTTTCCAGATGGAATTTGTACAAACTCATTTTACAGATTATATATGTTTTAGGTAAAAATGTATTAGAAGTCATAAATATTTGAATTTTACCCAACACGTGCAAAGACCCCATTAGCCCGGGAAAATAAAAATAGGGATGGAACAGATTGTTGTTAATGTTCTTGTTGTTTCAGTGGCGATGGAGAGACCAGCTCTATAACGGAAGGGTTGCGATCGGCCCTTGCCCGACTGCGACAGAAAACAACCCCTGGAAATCAAACTTCCCCGTTGCACCAACCCCAATCCAACGTAAGTACACCAGTTTATTTTATTTCAACATTATTCAACTCCAAATAGTTGTTGTAAACCTTACATTTGTACAATTTTAATATTTAATTATTTACTTTAATATTTTTTATTTCCGCTACTGTAAGGATAAAATTACGCTACTATAAGGATAAAATTATTACAATAGAAACCGCGTATATTGAAACAAACCTTTTTTAAATAAACCATGTAGGGTGAACTAGCCAGTGGTCGGAGAGTTTCGAAAAAGTTTAGCTTAAATTGTTGATTAAATTTTCTTTATTGATGGCATGAAAATGAAATTTTATGAAATAGATAGTGTGGTTATTGGGCTTCACGTTAAATGTAACAATCTTTTTCGTAAACCTACCAATGATTTTAATTATTTTTTAAGCGATAAAAGTGCTGTTTTGTCAGTAGTCGGACAGCACTTGCCAGTGTCCGGTCGGGTAGTTACCGGAAGTCGGACACTTATCCGACTACTGCACTTAGGCAAAGAAAATGTTATAGAACAAAGCGAAAGAATTCGTAGAATTGGGTTTTTAATTATTTGAAGCAATACTAAACCATATTTTTAACTTATTTTCCCAACAAATACGTTTTGTCCGATTACTTGTGTATGTCCGATTACTGGCATACAGACTACATATCTAATAATAACATATCTATTAAATACATATAAATTTACCATAAATACATATATATTATGGAGAACATATCTTTTCTACATATAAAAAACTCAATTTCAGTTAGAATACAATCAATAATCACCATATAGGCTAATAAAACTACTGTTTCAATTTGTCAAGCTTTCGAGAAATGTATTTCCATCATCAGGACATTATCTAAGATATATAAAAAAAGGCATTAAAATTTTGAAATTGTATAAAAAACCAACTTACGTATCAGTCAATTAACAAAACAACATCCTTTGCACAATAAGGCCTTACAAACTAACATCGTTGGACATTGGAATCACAAAGTATTCCCTTCGTAAAAATATTTAAATTTGGGGAATTTGCGGTGAACAGGTAGTTTCAATTGTTTTCCGAAAAAAACTCATAGACGTGTTCCTGGGGTCATAATGTTTTCACTTATTAAGACTCACCCTGTATAATGAATGCAAATTTATTAAAAGGATTAAATACAAAAACTACGTATAAAAAATCTGCCGATAAAATATCAATATGGTTTGCAAAATTTTATCTAAATTACATATTGTGAGATAAAAGATCCTTTCTCTAGCTTTTCCAACAGGCCTATTATTTTTATATATATTTACTGTATCTTTTTTTTTAATGTAAATATAGGGTTATATTTGCATAGTCTAGCCAGCCAAATCCGCAATATATAATTAATATTTACCTTTTTATTCAAGTTAAACAAAAGATATTAATAATTTAAAAAGTATCTTCAGATATGGTTGTAACATTCTCTACGAATATAATTATTGATGAGATGTACAAGACCTATCGCAAATAAGCGTGTGTATTTTAACTGGTACTATACCGGGTGCGTCTCAAAAGTGGCACACCTTTATGACTTTTTTATTTTTTCAGATAAAAAACGAGATTTGGTACGTTAGTACATAAATCAGGATTCATTGACGTATTCAATGATTGTTTTCGGTCACTTCCTGTTTCACCGGAAATGACTTTTGGTTTTTAAATGGACCATCAGTATTTTTTTACTTTATTCGATTCAATTATTTTTTTACTTTATTCATTACATATCATACGTCAACTTTTGACATTCTCGCTTAAAAAAATCGTATTTTAAATTTCAATCTAGAGTGCCATGGCTGTGTTAAAAATACTAATTTTTTATGAAAAAGAACCTTGGAAAAATATATTTTTCCAAGGCTCCTCTATTAACTTTTGTGATGAACCTTCATTTGATTTGATTTATTTTCATTTTATAATAACCATCTATCAAAGGCATGTCAAAGAATGAAATCGAAATTATATTACCATAGAAACATGTTTTGATTTTTAGGACTTTAGAAAACATTCAACTATATTTTCATGCTTTTTTTTAATTTTCTCTAAAACGGTTTGAAAGTTGGAAAAGTTTAAACGGGATTAACAATATTTAAAACAAGCAAAAATGTATATGGATAATGCATTTTTGTCAAACTATTAGAAAGATAACTACCTCTTTACTGTTACACAAGGTTTTTAAATCCCCTTTTTTATATATTCTTAACAAACACTAATATATTTTACTGTAAATTCCAACTAAACTGAAATACCTAATATATCTTAACAACTGTTGCACATTTCCATATTGTAATATTACGAAGTATTTTCATCATGTTAAGTGTACTCGTATATCTTTCCTGATCATGTCCCAACACAAGGCGTTAAAAAACCTGAGGATGTTCTGATGCCAGCGATACTCAAAATATAATGATTAAAAAGATAGTAAAGTTAATACATACATATAGATCATATCAAATAAACTTTTAATCATTGTGATTAAGCTCAACCGGGACATCGTTGCCGACTTACATATTTTCTTTGAAACAAATATTTTAGAAACCAAAAATTAATTATTTATAAATATATAATAAACAGTTATTATTCACATCAACAAAACTCACCTCTTTAACACCACTATGCTACACTCCGATGTTTTCCGACTTTCATTCTCTCTGTCTAGCTATAGGTCTTTTTCTTTATTTCTTTCAAATAGTTCTTTGACAATTCCTTCTCTCCAACTTTTCAAGTCTTCCTCGTCTTCTTCTTCCCTGTGGTGTCAATTCCCATACTTACTTAGGGAGATCGGGGAAGTTAGCAACTCATTGAAAGCAGGAATTATAAAATACAATCCTGCTTCAAATCCCAACCCATCCACACCTACCAATTTTGAGCTATAGTTACTTTTATTTTGGTTGCTAACTTCCCAGTTGGCAACACATAAGAAGCGGGATCGCCAAAACTGGTTCCTGCTTGCGCTGCTATACCCCTCTGCTGCATCCTGTTTTAAATTTCATTCCAGCAACACTTGCTGTTTTTTTAAGATACACTAAGTTTCAGTCTGATTGGTGACGTCACACATAGCAACACAAGAAAAGCAGGATAGCTGAAACAAGTTCCTCCTGTTGCTGCTATAATCGTGCCTCATCCTTCTTCAAACCCCATACCAGCCATTCTCGTCGTTTTTAAAATAGAATGAATCGATTCCTGTAATCAGTCGGTCATTAAGATTAGGAATGATTTTTTTTAACTTAATAAGTCTCAGCTTAGGCTGCTATTTTTTTGCTTTATTTGCCTAAAATATGTGTAAGTTTCCAAGCCATAAATAATTATTCCGAACAGTTGAACAAAATAAGGCAGGTTCAGTGTTCTCAGGAGTAACTTTAGAGTTTTAGTGTGACATTCGAAAGCGCCTTAGCGTACCCGCGAACCATAACCTCAAATTTTCCAGTTTTCTACTATGAATTTGAATTTATAGTTCTTACAAGTGTGATTTGTGTTATTTTGTGTTTTTTTTAAAGAAACGTAAGTATTTTTGACCGTCAATCTATCGTTAAACTTTTGTTTTTTACGTTTCGTTCCGTGCCCTAGCGGACAAGTCAGCAACAAGCTTTTATATCTTATAAATTGTGTAATGAGATTATAAGTTGATAGTAAAAGTGTTATAGAAAATTGTTTTCTTCTTTTTAGAGCATTTAAATAAAAGCTTTTTTTTTAAATGTTTTTAAAAGCTTTTATTTAATTTGCAATGTATGTATGTATTTCCTGCGGCTTTTGGATTGTTTGTTTTTGTCTGTCTTACACATTTGAATTGGCGGTGTCGATTGTTTATGATAAATAGTAACATTGTCACGTGATGGTCATCTTTCGTGATTTATAGTTTTTTAGATATTTATAGTTTAATAAAAATTTTATTTTTCTAGATATTTGTTTAATGTTTTTTTCCAGTTCACATCCCCAATGAGCCCATGGGTATTCTTACGTAATTTACTGGCAGTCTCGTTGTGAAAGGAATCATTAGAAGCATTTTATATTTGATCTTTTACAGGTTACATGATTGAAAAACTCCAACTCCCTAATTCCCGATTTCCAGTAATCAAAACGAAATTTGCTGTATTTCAAAAACGGCAAGAGTGGCTGGTATAGGGTTTGAAGCAGGATGAGACAGGATTATAGCAGCAAAAGCAAGAACTTGTTTCAGCCATACTGCTTTTATTGTGTTGCTATGTGTGACGTCACCAATCAGACTTAAACTTGCAAGTGTTGCTGGGATGAAATTTAGAGCAGGATGCAACACGGATATAGCAGCGCAAGCAGGAACCAGTTTTAGCGATCCTTCTTCTCATGTGTTGCCAAATGGGAACTTAGCAACCAAAATAAAAGTAACTATAGCTCAAAATTGGTAGGTGTGGCTGGGTTGGGATTTGAAGCAGGATAAAGCAGGATTGTATTTTATAATTCCTGCTTTCAATGAGTTGCTAACTTCCCCGATCTTACTTAGGGAGCCTTATGCCAAGCATTCTTTGTAGATAGATGTCCAAACCATCTTAACTGATTTTCTGTGATATCCTTCTCCAATAATTATTCATCTCTGTCACCTTTAAAGTGTTTTCCTTATTTTGTGAAGCCATAAAAATACTGTATGTAATAATTATTCTTTTCATAATGCTGTGTTCATTTCTGTTAGTTATACCTAGTGAGCATTTTATTCCTTTAAGGGAAATGTGTCCTTGGTGGCGTCGTTGTTACGTTACCAGGCCCTTCTTTTGCCCCATAAAAAAGAATAAAACACAGATACGTAACTGTTCCCTAAATGTGACTAAATGTGACAAAACTTTGCCTACTGGGTACTTTTATACCACTCAACATAGCTATCGCCCTTCTATCCTGTATGTTCCTATATTTGATATTCCCATATAGCACAGACATCCCGAGGATGTCCGTTTTAGATCCTAGTTTGGTTCCAATATCCGATACATCAGAGGGACGGACGTCCTGAGTATGTCGAATCGGGACTCAAATCGG